TCTGTGTTGTCAGTGAAATTGCTGAGGAGGCCTCTGCCCTTCATCCAAGTCATTGATGGGTAAATTAAACAAGACTGGGGCCACTATTGGCAGGAGACATCAGTAGGGACAGGCCTCCAAATAGAGCCTGTGCCCCTGGTTACAATCCCCTGGGATAGCACTACAACGGCTAGTTACTGGCAGTCCCACATGAGCAGTTTTAGATCAACTTAACTCCTCCAATTTATGGAGAAAAATTTCTTGTTCATCTTACCATACATTTCAAGAATCCACCATGACTACATAAGACAGCAACCATTATGGGCTTGATTCGTGGACAGTCCAAACTGCCACGTGGCAAAAATGGTCATGAGGCAGAATGCCCTAGAAGTGCAAGTCAAGACTGTCAACACCAAGCTGTATGGAGTGGCTGACACATAGGGATGGACAGAACACTGTAACAGACTGCCTGCAGAGGTGAGAGATGTCCCGTTCCTGAAAATATTCAAGCTCAGATTAGGTGGGACTCAGAGCAAACTGAAGATGCTCCTCCTCTTTTCAGGAGAGTTGGACTACATGACCAATAAAGGTCCCTTCAAGCCCAAACGGTCCTATGATCCTTATTTTTCAATGCCTTTACAGGTCACTCACATTACTTCACTCAAAGGACAGCAGGCAGAGAAGAACACGTAAGTATGAAGGTGAAGAACATGAAAAACAACCTCATGTTCAGTCATGTTTTCCAATCCTCCACACCCTTTCAGGTAGTTAGCTGGTTTTCATGACCACTACCATTTACCCCACAGAAGGCCTAAGCTGCTGAAACACACACTGCATTCCTTCCTACCTCCAAGGTCCAAGAGAATTGTCCGTATCATATCTGAGGTAAAACAATTTTGAAGCAAAGTGGAGTACACACAGAAAAAGGGCAGTTAACTATTATTAAAATACATGAGCCAGAAACAATACCTTAGCTATTTACTATCCTCACCCTCTCTGCTATCACTTCCTTTTCATGGCCTGGAGTTCCTTCCCAATCCTCCTGAGATCACCCAGTATACTATAACACAGAACAATGGACAGCAAATTAGGTACTGTTGATAAAACCGAGCTGTGATCAATTGGTCGCATACTGCTAATTGGGAAAAATGCACGCCTTTCACAAATTACTGTGTGCAGAAGTATGTGACAGAAGCATTATTGCTAAAAGTAGTTTTAGACAAAGGTATTACATTTTTTGTTGCCATACATAAGTATCTCTTGCACAAAAGCACATATATGTACCTAGTCCTTTGCCTTTTCTCTTTAAGTTACCATTCAACTATATAATGCCACAGTCACTTCCAGAAATCAGGAAGCTAGAAATGCAGAAGCTGTGTGGGTAAACAGGGATATTAAAGTCTAACACAACTTAAAATGTATCAGACTGATACTGCTCCATGAACAGGCTTACTTCAATCTTTACAGCCATTTTCTATCTCCTGACTCACAAGCCATATCTTCCCATTTTTCATCTCCTTTCAAGCCACATTTTTTCTCCTGCTCTACCAAAAGGTGTCCTAACAGGCAAAGAAAGATATTACCTGCACCAAGGCACCCTGATCCACAGGACATCATACAGCCTGTCTCTGAAAAGTCTAAATAAGGCCAAAACTCAGACATGCTCTCCTAGAGGTGTGCCCAAAACACCCTTTGTCATTGGAACCAATATTCACATTAAAAAAATCCCAAACAAAAACAAACAAAACACCCCCAACAACAACAAAAAACTTCCTGAACAAAACCAAAAAAAAAAAAACCCACAAAAAAACTCAAACCAAACAAAAGCCAGAAAACCTCACATCTAAACTGTTATATAGGCAACAACTTTGAGTATCTTCTATTTGACACAGATTGGGCCACTGCTGGCCAGTAGCTTGCTTATTATATCTCACCTCTCATACAGAGAGGCCATCACTTACATCATCATACTAAACATTCCAGCTGTCAAAGGATTGTCATTTGGCCCAGAACTGCCCTTAAGGATTTTCAGAAAAGCCTTCTGACACCTGCTGCTCTCAAGTGGTTCATGCAAAGGTACATACTTTTAGCTCCCAGAGAACTCTTGAGATTACTTTAAAATCTAAATGTGTGTGCCTCTAGGCTGATCCCCATTAGGAAAACAAGTTTCGACAGATCATTGTTTATTCTTTTGATAAGCCAACTTGCATAGAGGAAAAGACAACAAAATTATTTTCTCTCAAAGAACAGCATCATACAACTCCTAAGAATTAGTAAACATTTAGGTCTACAACCATTGATGAGAAAGTTTGTTGAAAAAGTGGCTGACTGGTGATATGCTCTAAGTGTAAAGTAGACTCATAAGGGCAACATACAGTAATATTATTTGTCCAATTACTATCCCAAATACCTAAAGACTGAAGAACTGGAAGAGTGTCAAAGCTGCGTTACAACTGTTAAAACTGTGCAAATGACTGAATTTCACCTAGAAATGCACTCATAAGAACAGCCAGTAGTTTCTCACACTGCTGATGTTTCTGGCTCAACCACAGCTGAGCTTATTACTCTTTTTTTTTTGTAAGACCCAAACTCTGCCATATCTCCGTTCTCTTTCCAGTAAATACATTTTGTTTTATTGGCAAAAGTGGTAGACAGATAAGTCATTTGAGTCAGTAGGAACTTCAGATCATCTCCAGTCTCAACCCCCACCCACAGCAAGATCAGCCATGTGGTGAGATTGCTCAGGCCTTTATATCTATGGGCTGAAAACTCTCCAAGAAGGCAAACACCACCACACACACTGTCCAGCAGGTCTTGTGGAAAGAAAAGCTCTCCCTCACACCCTGTCTCTATGGCCCGACTCAGTCCACTGCCCACCAGGGCTCAGGGCTTTCTGCCCCTAGCCTTGCTGGCATCGCTGCCAGGTCTGCTGAGTTTTCAAACATTTAAAGTTACATGGAGTCAAGCATACCTTAAACAGAGAGATCAGAAGGTTGATTAGCTTTATAAATTCATAAATTTGGGCAACAAGCAAAATTTCGGCATCACTTAAACTATTCATATTGCATTCAGATACAAAAGGTACTTTCATCTCTTTGCTACATCCACAACACTTTTCATGTTTCTTGAAACTGAGGTTCCTATTACCATTTATTAATTGTGCTGTACGCTTTCCATATTTCCTTAAGAAGAATTAACTAACTCTTCAGTCCATACACATGAAGCTGCCCACTCAGTATCATGCCGTTCCTGAGTGTACCATTTCACATCCTTTTGTGAATGCGAAATCCCGCTTGCATGTACTGTGTTTGATAGCAGTTTACTCACAGTTATCCTAATTTGGACTGAACGAATACCACAGGTCTACAGCTCTTCCTAATACCCTGAAAAGCAGAGTTTTTGAGATGTATGCAGACAAAAACAACACAGCCATCTTCAAGCAAGTTACGAAAAGATACATAAATTTTAAAAGGGCAAGTCAACACCATTTATAAAACAGGATGATAGCTACAATTAGATGGTCATTAATTTTCAGTATTTTAGTAATTGAGCAAGTAGTACCAGCAGACACAAAAATTAGGTCTCTGATCTTGGACACTCTTTCAGAACACATAAAGATTACTCAAGATTGATATGCAGAAACCTAAGCTAAATCTGATATTGCACACTATAGTTAAAAAAAAAAACCCAAACCAAAAAACTTCTGTAAAAACTATCAACTCATTTTCTGTTCTCATCCATTCCTTCAAGCAGAAAACCTGATGCATGCAATCATTCTATGAAATCAACTCCAAAGACAAGCAATTTAACTTAGCGCTTCTTCAGGAACATTGACATTCCCCATTTCAGAATACCTAAAAATGCTCAAAACAAGTAATCCTTACTCCACCTGTTTTCACAACATACAGCATTTGTAAAGATCAAGAAAAACTGTAACCACAAAAGAAAAACAGGTTTATTTTTGCCACAGCAAAAGTCTGCAGTATCTACTCCTTTTGTAACAGCTAGTTCTACACCTCTAACACTACCAAACTTGCACAGAAAATTGCTGTTGATTCACAGAATGGTCTAGGTTGGAAGCAATCTTCAAATCATCTAGTTCCAACACCTGTGCTATCAGCAGCGGTATCTTCCACTAGATTAGGTTGCTCAAAGCTTTGAATGTGTCATCTCTGTTATACCATTCAACATAGAAACAGTCACCATCTCAAACACATGAAACTTTCAACACAAAAAAAGAAAACCTACAGCCCCATAATTTCAGCACGATGGCTAGTTTTATATTGTTCAGCTGCACTGGTTCAGAGGAATTTCACTACAAGAACCACTTTTCTTATAAAAATAGCCTTTAGCAAAAGACAAGCATGACTCCATTTAATTTTCTTTCAGTTTGCTCAACTGTTACAGAAAAAATTCAGCTACTCAGCTGGTTAATGAGGCTGTAATTCTCATCTTGCCTACCAACAGCTCAACCATGGATACAATCCAAGGCAAGTGCTATTGCTATGCCAAGTTTCACAGTTTAGCTATCTGAATGCAAAAGCAGCTTCTACAGTCTTCTTCACTTTATGCAGTTCACTTTGTCAGCAGTTTTCCAGTTCCCTTCAGAATGGGTGCTCTGGCCAGATTAGCAATAGCAGTTTTAGGTCAGGACCTCAATTTGGGCTTGTAGCTCAAGGTACAAGCACATAAAAATTAAAAAGTCAAACTCATTAATACATTAATTTCTTCTCTACTTCATGCATGCAGTACAAGCATAGCCTGTTGCAAGCAGCATATGGTGTTTTAGAGTTAGGACTTTAGTTTTCCCTCTTTTGGAAACAGAAAGCAGCTTCTCATGCTTATTTGGGTGGAAATGGACCACACCAGGATGTCTGATGAGATTTTTACATGTGTTACTAGAGGTAAAAATAATATCCTTAATTGCAATTATAGCAGGTACTAGGATCTTAGGATTTGAATTTAAAATATTTAAAAGCCTTTTTTAAATCAACTGTGATATGCAACCAGTAAGTGCTCACCTCTAGTTATGCTTGCGGGATCAAGACTGGAGATGAACAGCAGATACAGAAAATTTAAATAAATCCCAAGATCTTGCTCCACTTTCAAACTGGGCTGGGTTGATGCATATGAAACTTAATGCTAATGGATAATAAAAACAGAGGCCATGGCATTAATTTTCCAGCATTTCAAGAGGACAAACAAAATGGATGGCACTGAAACAAAGACTTCATTACAAAAATAAAATGGAAACAAAGTTCATATGCTACCATTGCTGCAATATATTGCCCATTTCAGTGCAATGTCTACATATGCATATGCTCAAAGGAACTTCAGAAATCGAAATACTCCATTAATAGTTTTCTCCTCTGCCAAGACAGATGGCCACAATACTGACTCTTCTGCATCCATCTTCCTTTCTCTATTAAAGAGAAACACTCTTCACTAGACCAGAGATGTAAGGGACCACCTTCTCCTCCTATTCCTCACCACTTTGCACACACTTCCCACAAGATCACCTGGAACAGTGGTACAAGGAACCTTAACTGCTTCTGTAGGTAAACAAGTACATTTTCACCCCACTTGTTCCATGAACTATCAAAAACTATCTCACCATTCAGCACATCTTTCTCCAAAGATGTGGCTCAAGTCCAGGCACAGCTGTTCCTGCAGCATGTAAGTGATAAGACCATAACTTCCACAATGCATTCAGAAAATAAGTTAATCTCAAGTAAGATTTGGAGAAGTTCTCCACTTTGGTACTGAAACTAAAAATCACATGCCACAAACACAAAACTAGAAGCAGCAAGCTTATAAGGCCAAGTTTGAAGAGTGGGTAGACAAACCCTTGCCCTTTTTCTGCTGTCTATATATTTAATTAATAAATTTTGATATCTACCACACCAAGTCTAACTCAGGGAACCATTTCTTTAAGGTGTTTTATTAGAGTTATATTACTAACATCAGGTACTACCATAACATACATCATTAGACAATTTTATTTACATTAAGGTATTTTAACAGCAAGCTTTCCATAACATTACACAGAAACAGCCTCTTGGATATCATGGCAGACTGTTCAAATCCCAATATATTGAGAGACAAGTCTGAGCACAAGACTCTCAGAAGCAGATTTATCCCTAAAGAAACTCAGGTACCATGAACGTGAATATTTGGACTGTATCTACTACTCATTTAGGACTTAGAGACAAAGCCAGCACAAGAAGTCCATTTCAAATGTTTATTCCCCATGACAGCCAGGTACAGCCTGAATAACTGCAAAACCCACTCAAATCTCTACCTCATCATGCCAATGCAGCTAGATGGAAATGGGAGAGTAAACCATCTTCTGTCCTGACTCCTCTACCTCCTTCCAAGTAATATTGCATAAATTTTCATCAATATAAATAATAAGCAACAGGCAATTAAAAAAAGCAACACAGAAAAGATGGCTTAAACCACCACTTCTGGTATGCAATTCTACTTCTGAAAAAATACGCAATAACAGTATTGCAAAACACCATCAGCAGGGACACATCTGGTAGAGAAGTTCTATTTACATTACCTTTCCCATTCCATGTCTGAATCTCCTTCTCTCAACCCTTATAAGAAAAAGTGACTAAGGCATTTGCCTCTAAATACTTACTTGAATTTTCAAGAGAAACTCTGTTCATCCATTCTGTAAAACAAATCCTACTAACTTCTTTTCTGACATCAAGATTTAAGGCACAGAAGAACATCAGTACTCCAGCAATCACTCGATGGCAGTTTCATTCCATAAAAACACATAAAGCTTATTCAGCTAAATCAGAGTAAGGACTTAGCTAAATAAACTCATCTAAAGCATGAAAGCAAATGCAGCCAGCAGACCTACAGAAAGGCCGCTCAACACATCACAGTGAATATAACAGGATACCCTGAGCACTCCTTCCTACCTCTGTGTACTGTATCACAATGTATTTGAATGTTAGTGTTCCCTCTTTTGCCAGTACTTAGGTAGTAAGTACTCATAAGACTGCATAGGCACGATTTACAGTATGTTACAGCAATTCAGTTACCTTCCATCGTATAATGCTTTCCTTCTATCTCTATTCCACACTCACCTGAAGAAGTAGAGTCTTACATCCTTAACACAACTCACCTGAAGAAGTAGAGTCTTACATCCTTAACACAATCCGTGTTTTATTACCTCAGTATTTCCTAGCTTCTGCATCATTTGGGCAGCCACAGTGGCTTTACGTGGATATACCTGTTCCTTTGCTAACTGCAGCAAATCAAGATATTAATTCTTGCAACATCTTACAGCTTCCTCTACACTAAGAATCTCTGCAGTTTCTGATCAGCAGCTGGACTATTTGAGTCATCAGCAGTATCACAACTGTGTGAGGGAATGAACAATTGGTATCACCAATGTTTTATGTGAATTTCAAGATTGCCTAAAATTATTCTTATTCTGAACCTTGGCTGGCACGCTCACACATTTAAACACCTAACTCTCATCCCCACTTTCATCAAGAAGCCACAGCTTTTTTCAAACCTTCATCACATTGGGACTTACTATGACTACCAAAACAAATTAAAACCCCTGTTGCTTAAGTACAGGAGTACCACAAGGCTCAGACAGAACAGAAAACAGTGCGACACTACTTTAATCTCCATCTGGAAAACTTCAAAATTTGTTCCCAAAATTCACAATTTTCAAACATATGTACGTAAAATTTTCCCAATGCAATTTTCCACATTATGTAATTACTGCTCTTAAAACTCCACATATTTTGCCAGCCAAGTCAAATTTAGACTGTGAGCTACTTCAAAAATTTAACATGGCATTAGAATTTTTAAGTAAATTTCTGAGAAAGCATACTTCAGATTTCTGCCATGAGCTGTTTTCTCTTTTGCCTAATTTTAAAGCTGAAAACCTGCAGTCCATATAAAACACTGACTACTAAAGCCAAGTGTTTCACTGAGATCATCTTTCCAATATGTACTTATTGCAGAGCTGTAGGTCAGAAAGTCTGTGTGAAACACATGCTCTTCTTCCAAATACACTGAAGACCAACTAGCAATTAGGTCTCTTATCACAGATTTTGTTAGATTTAGCACTGCATTTAGCTGTTCTGCAAGCATTAGATGCAAGGAGACCCTACAAACCAAAAACAATTCTTACTGAGCAAAAGCAGCTTGCTCAGAATTGTCTGAGCTTCAGTGGGAAACATTCAAAAAGCCTACGTGCGTTTCTCAGCCACCAGAGACTGGCAGTATGACTCTCAGAATTTCAATATGGATTAGGCAACAAAACATCTTGCTCTGGCCCACCAGCTGTAGTAGCTAAAACTTACAAATTGTCTTACGCCAGCTTCTCCACAACTAATCCTTCTGAGTGCGTCAAATTAGGTAGATTTTACACAGCCAAGATCAAAAAAACATGTAGCAGCTTCCTTCAGAAATGGAACTACAGATGCCAAAACACAAAAACACCATCAGCTAATACTGCTGGACAGTGTCATGATTTTTCAATTGATTTGGGGGCTGTCAGAAAAAGAAATCTGTGCGCTAAAGCAACATTCTCACACTTCTCAAATGTTAGCAACAGCTGGTAACACTGACTGTCCTCTGAAGACACCAACATCTATTAGAGAACCATTTCAGCAAAAGTGAAGATGGCATTAAAGCAATATTGAAATGTATATTCATCACAAATTGAGCTTATCCATTAGCTCACAACCAGCTCATTGCTATGAAGAACATCACTGGCCACAAATATAATCAAAAGCCATTACGTTGTAAGACAAAGAGTTTTACCGATAAAAGCAGCATTTCTGCATTGCTGTTACAAGACAGGAGCTTGTGCTTGCATCCTTGTACTATTTTTAACTGCTAACTCTATATCTGCAGGAGCATTGACTTATTTTACCAAGGCCAAGAAAGCTGAACTATACCTTGGGCTTTTAGAACAGGACATCTATTTCCTACCTAGTCCCCAACTAAAACATGCTTAGCTCTGTCACTCAAAAATTCTATCTTGGAATTATAAGGACTTTCATAGAATTCAGCTTGAGCCTTCACTGTAGGTTGAATATTGTCATCTAGAAACTTGGAACATACTCTGTAAGGTTTTTTGTATTGTCTTTATTTTTTTTTTTACCTAGATCACCTAGCTCAGTCTTAACTATGCCAGTTCACAATTCCTGGAAATGCAGTAGGTAAATCTTTCCCTCCCATTTAAAAAAGAGCAATTAAAAGGAATGCAGGAAAAAGAATAAAAATCAATGTCACATTAATATGATAAAGTTGCAATAAATTTACTTGCAGGAATAATACACTAGCATGATTACCTAATAAAAGCAAGACATTTATGTAAATGTAAGCATATTTAAGACATACCCACTGCAAAGACTAAATAAATTAAAAATCTCTACTGCACATGGAAAAGATCAACCACTCCACAAGAATAAAACCACATAAAATAAAGACACCTATTCTGAAGCAGAAATAGCAATGTGAGGACAACCAGAAGACATTTGAAAGGAGAATTAAAGATTCAAATCTTCGTCAGATTTGAATACATCTGATAAAATTCCTTAGAGTTTCAAGGTCATTAGTATGTGTCTATAGTTATAAATCCTCAATAATATATAACAGTAAAAACTTCAAATATCTACATTTCTCTCTAATTAAGTAATATTCCATTGTACACCATGCATATAGAATTGCCAATTTTATATTTGCAAAAAAATATTTATGCATAATTGATAGAAATGAGGTTCAAAGTCCACTGCTAGAACACCTAATCACTGCTATCACCCGTAATATAGCGTTTCTGAAAGGTCAGGGAAAAGAGATGAAAAAACCTGGATGTAACTTCAAGATTCACAATTCATGGAACTGAAAAAGGAAAACAAAAGCTAAAACTAACACCACTGTGCTTCCTCAACCAAATGTACCCCACATAGTGGAACACCTCCTAGGCCCCCCCAGTTTAATATAAAATTTTCCATCAAAATAAGAACAAAGTCAAATGCAAGGAGTTTTTCAGCGCAAAATATCAAGAATCCATTACTTTTCAAGAAAATACACACATCCTGAAATACTCAATTCATTAGGTGCTACAACTTCATCCAGTATCACTTGTAAGAACACATGACTGACGTCCTAAGTACTACTAAACTTTATCAACCAAGGCTGTATTCAAAACTTAAAAAATATGGCAACGCCTTTTAGTCTCAGAGACTTCAACTGAATAAACTATCACCAAAGACTACTTTATAAGCACAAATTTTCTTGTGTGTTTTGCATGGTTTCTGAATTTTTTTTTCAGTAACTATCAAGCTTTCCAGTTCTAACAAGTAACACGTGAATTTAAACGGATGCTACCGAGCGGGTAACGAGCTTAAAAGGGGACCGAGCTGCCTGACTACCCCAAGAGTTCACACCATCAGTGTTAAGCAGTTGAAGCAAAATCTCCACGCACTCAAGGCAAAAATGAGATTTTTTTTTTCCCAGGGCAACCTGAAAAGGCAGGCAATACACCGAACCTGGTAATGCTCCGTGCAAAAAGCAGAGATCACGGGGTGACGACCCCTCCGCCTGACCAAGCTCGGACGCGCCGCGCCGGTGCGACCCTTGACTCCTCAGCGCGACGTGAACGCCAAAATAAAACAGAGCAATTGCGCCGGGCACCTTCACCCCATCCCCAGGGCCGGCTCTCCTCTGCAGCGCGGGAACTCCGCAGCCCAGCAGGGCCCGCTCGCAGGGCGGAGCTCTCGGCACCGCCGAGCCCGGGCCGTGGAAGGCCGGCACCAGGCAGCACCGGCTGCTCCGCCGCGCCTTTTCCATCGCAGGGATTGCTGCCGCCGGCCACACAGCCCCCACTGGCCCCGCTCGCGGGCGCGGCTCGGTTGCCCACGCCCCGCAGGTGAGGCGGGCAGCCCTGCGGCCCCTCCGCGGCCAGGCACAGCCCCGCGCCCTCCACCCGCGGCCCTCTGCCGCCCCACGGCTCCGCCGCGCCGCAGGGCGCGCTCAGGAGGCGGCAGATGCACTACGGTGAACATAACGGACATAAGCGCTCCAGTTAGAGCAAAGTCAGACGCGAACAAGGCGGAAAGGCGGGTGCAGCTTGTGGGGAGAATGAGAGCGACGCTCGAGTGGTTGGGCCACGCTAGAGAAAGGTAGGATGAAAGTCATTCAGGGATGCTGCTGATTAAACAAAGGGTTTACTGAACAATGTTATGTCCGGGGGACAAGTGTTTAAGCACCTAATTATAACGACACTTAACAAAAAAAAAAAAAAAAAAAAAAAAAAAAAAAAAAAAGGGAGGGGGCGAAAAGAAAGGAAATAGTCAGAAAAGCAGAAAAGCCCGAAGGTTAAAGCAAAAAGCGATTAAACTCATCTAGTACGGGAGAGGGGAAAGGGGATGAAGTAACCATTCGCAGAAAAAAAAAAACAACCCTGCTGTCCACAACTGTCAAGAAGCCCCTCTTAACCTAACACCACCAGTATCTAGGAGTTTGGAACCCAGCCCGCAACAAGCCGGTACTGGCGGAAAGCCACCAGTCACTTACAGTAGCAGGGGCCGGTGAAGGTCTCCGCACACGCCTTGATTTACCTTTACCCTTTGCTGGGGGGTACCCCGGCCATGCGCCGGCGGCCCGCAGCCCAGGCCACCCCGCCTTCCCGCCGTGCTCCCCGCGCAGGCTACAGCCCCGCTCCGGCTCCAGCTCTCCTCCACTCCTCCGGGGCGAATCCAGCGTCCCGGCGCGCCTCTGCCAAGACCGCATGGCTCCCCGTAAGCCCCGTCTCCCTTCCCAGCCCCTCGACCCGCCCTTCTTTCAACAGCCCGGGACCGGCAGTCCGTCTGCTCGCTGTCTTGCAGGAGCTGCTGCGGTACCAGGCTGGAAGCAGAGTGGAGAAAAGGTGTCTGCTACCCGAGGGAGC